CTGGGTTCCTCGCGAACCCAGGCTCCTGGGTTCCTCACGAACCCGCGAGCTAGGTTCCTCGTGAACCCAAGCTCCTGGGTAGCCTGCGACGAACCCAGCTCGCGGGTTCGCGATGGGTAGCCTGCAAGGAACCCAGGCTCTTGGAGAGCCTGGGTTCGCCTGCGGGGTAAGAGGAAAAAAAAGAAAAAAAAGAAAAAAAAGGTCGGAGGAAGTGGAGTCCACGTGGATGGTGACGTGGGATCCATGTAAGCATCCTTTACATGTTGGCATATCCACATCAGCTGTTTCAGTTAAGTTAACGTGACACGTGAGCAAAAATTAACGGAGGGATCAAAAAGGGGCCGGATTTGTGAACAGTAAGGACTAAAAAAGGGATTTTTTCGGTACAGGGACCAAAAAGGGGCTTTTTCCTATAGTAGAGGGACCAAAAAGGGTATTTAACCTTTAATTTTTAAAATGTCTTAATTTTCATTTTTACTTTTTAAATTTTATATATTTTGAAATTAATTTTTTATTAAATTTAAATATTTAAAAATTATATTAAATTTCAATTAATTTAGAGTTTAATTGTATTAGACCCATTAAAAAAAATCTCTTAACACATATTTTTCTATTCATAAGTTTAATTTAAAGTTTTACTTAAAAAAGTTAACCTTTTACTATTTAGACTAATACATTATTGATTAAAATTAATTTCTTTCTCAACTTTTTTTTTTTTGACAAGAATAATGGTTAAGAAGTTAGTATGAATTAATTGTTAGCAATTGGGGATTCAATCCTCAGACCGGGTGAATATTTCACCATCTCAAATAAGGTGCGTGGCCATCAGATCACTTTTTGGTAGAGTTCACGACAGTAATAGAGCTCGAAACTCCGATCACCTCACCCAAACACTTAAAACTTAGGATTAAATCATTGGGCCTAAAGTCCGGTTCAATTTCTTTCTCAACTGCTTAAAAGCAAATTGCTCGAATTAATTTATTACATCTATAAAAATTAATTTGTTTAATAAATTCTTACCAGTAGGTCCATAGCACAACACACATCAAATTATGAGCCAAACCTTTGAGATTTATTGATTTATTCTTAAGCCTTAATATTTAAGTAGATTAATCGAAAATTCCTTTATTATCAACTATTTAAATATTTACATGTAACTTATGCGTTATTGATGCTTCTCCAGCTTATGAGCGGCTGATCCATTTTCCTATTTCCCTTCTAATTGTCCTTATTAAAAAAATTCACGTCAAATTATTATTTTAGTACTGTATTACTCCTTGGCACAATTATTTTATGACGTCAACCCTGTCGGCTTGACCCCTCCAGTAACCTGAAAAAGGCTTATTTTTAATTCTAAACCTATCTTTAAACTCTTACTTTAATAAATTTATAAGTTTAAAATTTTTATTTTATATTATGATATTATTAATTTTTTATTATGTAATTAAAAAAAATAATTTTTATTTAATGTTAGATTATAATATTTTATTAATTCTATTAATTAATTATTAATTCTATTAACTCAGTATTAATTATGTTAGTTGAATGTTAGTATTTTGTTAATAGAATTAAAAAATTAAATTAAATTTAAACTTTATATTTTATATAACAAAATATAAATAGTCAATTAACAAAATTAATAATCAACTAATAGAATTAATAATCAATTAATAAGATATTAAATAAGAGTTATTTTTTTTTATTTGTATAAATGATAAGTTAAAAATATTATAATATAAAATAAAGGCCTAAAACTTATAAATTTATTAAAAACTTATAAATTTATTAAAGTAAAAAACTAAACTTAAGTGTTTACCTAGTAACCTTATGAGGACGGAGCCAACGTCGGAAAGGGGGCAACTGCCCCCCTAAGGTTTTGAAAAATTTCAAATATGGTACTTTAATTTTTATTCTCTACAAAATTTTGTTTTTTGAGGTTTTAAATTATTGGGACTATTTCAAATATTAAAAAAAAAATTAGGATTTAGGTAAAGGGATTATTTCTCTCCTTATGATTAATTTTTAAGATATGATAATTTGGTCTAGGTAAGAAAAAATATTAAAAAATAATCAAAATTTAATTAATTATATTAATATAACTTATATAAGTTTTTACGTATTAGTTATGTATAATTTTTTTGTATAATTTATATACTATGAAAATAATGTTAAATTTATTTTATTAATATAAATCATATATTTTAAATTTAAAGTTGTTTTGATGTAAGTAGTCATTCAAAAAATAAACTATATTTTTATGCTATTTATTTAGAGATTTTAAAGTATATATCATTTAAAAATAACTAAATATATCTAATTTG